ACTACTATTCAAACGGTAGGTTCATTGCGTCGATTTTATGATCTTTTCAAGAGATATTTACGAATAACTGGGAAAAGTACCAACACGTTTTTCGGAAAAATTTCGAAAACGCTTCTTTGAACACAAAAATTGGTTTTGTTTCCATGTTCAGCGACCCATAGTTAGCCTAGAAAATACTTTCTTACAAAGGTTAGTTTTTCGTGTAAACTAGTGTTATTTATTGTGAACTTTTACTTGTGACAGAGATTCAAATATATTTCAGTTTTTAAGTTAAATCATGCTGTGCCTAGTAGCTAACCTTTAGATATATCATTTGCACCACTCTTTTGGGGATGTATAGGGCCACCAAGCTTATTATTTCCATAGTCGTCGGGATTTTTATAGGAACTTCTTATGTATACATATTCTGCTGTCCGATTACTTCAGCAGTTAATTAACTACTTTTCATGCCACAAAAATTCATTCCTGTTAAATTTCCGGGCTCTTTTTTAGATAATTCAATGGCATGTGATATTATTGGCCATAATATATCTAGGGAAAATAATAAAACGGTATTTATTATGAAAATAGCTTCTATATGTTTAAGTTTTTACCACCCATTCATTGGTGTAGACTTCTGTTGAAAAATTTTGACACTCGAGCAGGCGGAAGCTGAATAGTTCATTTTGCACATATGTATACAGTGAAACCAGCTTAAGTACCTAACCCGCTTAAGTAACCAAAATTTTTGGACACCGCGAATTTTTTAATACAATCTGAAGAAAATCCCTCTCTTAAGTACCTTTCCGCTTATTTACCCAATCCGCATAAGTACCCAAATTTCTCGTGGCCCATTTACATTTTTACTTAGAATTTTCCCCTTTTAAGTGCTCTTTTACACTACACAACTTCGGTGAAAAAAAAATCTAAAGAATCAACGGTAATTTTTAGCCACTTGAAACTTGCACATTATTACCCCAAAATTGAATGGGCTATAAAACTGTATACTCAAAAAACACTTCTGAGGAAAAAAGTTTGAAATAATGTTGCATCTTTTTTTAAGTGTTCTACAAAATCTTAAGCTTGAGTTTATATGGTATTTGTTAGGGAACGAACTGTATTTTAATCGATTGAAAAATCTCAAAAATTACTAAATAAATAAACATAAGTGGCAAACAATATCATTTGGAATGTGTTACAAAATGATATGTCCAACTTTGACTTTTTAAACAATTTAAATCTTGTAAAAATGACACACCATTGCACTATCTTTTTTTACACCCGAGCGCACTTGTCCACAAGGGTATTATAACTTTGTTCACATAACGGTTGTTTGTAACAGGCAGAACGAATCGAGATAGATATAGACAAATGTATACATAAATGATCAGAATGAAAAGAGAAATCGATTAAGCGGTGACTGTCTGTCCGTCCGTCTGTGCACACGATAACTCGAGTAACAATTGAGGTATCTTAACGAAACTTGGTACATACCCTTATTTTGGGCGTAGGACGGATGGTATTGAAAATGGGCGAAATCGGACAATAACCACGGCTACCTCCCATATAACGGTAATTTTCAGAAATACGAAACCTGCTAGTAACTACTGAAGATAATTCACTCAAAATTCACATTTAGAATAACTTTTAGACGAAAAATAAGAATATTAAAAATTTTTGGAAAATGGGTGTAGCCACGCCCACTTATAGTTACATGTGTATACCTTGGTAACCGCTACACCAATTTATTCCAAACTGGGCACAGTTGTTGACCCTCGTACAGCATACCAAATGGCCGAAAATTTTTAAAATCAGACAATAGCCACGCCCACATCCCATATAACGATAATTTCGAGAAATACAGAATCCTCGATAAATCAGTAAATATTAAAGCTAATTTATTCAAAATTGATGGTTGCAACAATTCTTTACCAGGAAATACGTTTATGATAAAATTTTGGAAAATGGGCGTGGCACCGCCCACTTATGATCACATATATGTGTCTCGTTAACCGTTCTAGCAATTTGTACCAAACTCGGTATGGTTATTGTGCTTGCCACATAAAAGCAAACCGTTGAAATCGAATTAAAATTACGGCCGCTTTTCATATAACGGTAAATTTCAGAAATGCTTGAAATTTCAATATTTCGAAATTTAAGGATGCTAGTTTACTTAAAATTTATACACCCGCTTATCATGTAGCGGTAGCTTTCGGAAAGGTGGAAAACATATATTTAATACTTGCGCCGGTTATTTAATGTTCGGCTCCGCCCGAACTTAGACTTTCTTACTTGTTCTTTTTAATAAAGTTTTCCTTTTTGTTTGTTTGTTTAAATAATGCTACTATTTTTGTTTTAAACTATGTATACTTCATTAAATGTTGTTAATCAAGTATTTATGTAAGTAACAAGAAGATGTAGCTACATCAGTTATTATGTTCGCTTAAGTATCCGCATCGAGGTACTTAAGCGGGTTCTTTTAAGTACCCAACCCGTCTAAGTACCTCAAAAAGCTGACATTCGTTGTACTTAAGCGGGTTTTACTGTAATTATTTACTATTGAATATTAACTATTGTTTTTGATAACGGTAGTTAAAAATATAATGGAACGTCAACTTAACATATGAAAATACTTATAAACTAAAGGCTACTAAAATTACGGTGACCAATCGCCCTTTATTTTAAAGGACAGTCCTTTATTTTAACTCCCTGTCCTT